GGCCATGCAAGCAAAAAATTCTATAATCAAGGATTTATACAGAAAAATACGAACAAATCCATTATTTATATAAAAAAAATTCTGATGTGTATGGCTTTTAGCCTAACAGTTCTTGACAAAGATGACTCAAAGGGCCAATTATAAGCTACTTCACATTCGGAATACTTGTTGACCAAAATATCCAAAACTGGCAAAGTAATGTTTTGATCATCAAAGTGTGTAAATTATCGTATTTATAAAGAAATACTAGAACCAGAAAGATATCTCGTTAATCTACCTAGAAAATTTTCAATTTTGTTATGTGAATTTAGATGTAGCAACTTTAAACTCCTATTGAAAATGGGAGATGGTATGGTATTCTAAGAGAACAAAGAATTTGTACTTTATGTGATTTTCATAAGATTGGTGATGAATTTCATTATGTTTTTGAATGCACACAAAAAGAAATTAAAGAGGCTAGGTTTAAGGAATAACTGTGAATATCCCGGACCTTCCTTTCTATGATTGAAAATTGCTACGGCGCTAGCTCACCCATCTTTTTTTAAAAGATAAACTTATATCATTGAGGGAGTTACATGTAGCAAGATTCCAGTTCCCCAAGGCCAGGACTATTTCCCGAGGCGCAGCCTGGTTTAAAACAGTTACAAGATTCCAGTTCCCCTCAGCCAGGAATAAACAATCCTGACATTGGGGAACTGGAATATTGTTAACTCCCTCAATGATATACTTTAACTGATTATTATCATTTATTTTATTGGTAAATGTATTTCAATTTACATATTAACAAAGATGTGTATGTGAAACACTGATCAATGCTCCTGTATAACATTTTTTGGCGAAGGTTAAACTTTCTCAAATAAAAGTTAAACTACAAGCCAAGGTCAAGTTGAAAAAATAAAAAAAAAATGTTGTTACCAAAAAAGAAGGACTCGTCTCAATAAGTACTAAATACGCATGTGAAATATAAAAGCCCTTGCAAAGTTATTGTCAAAGATTATGTTTTTAAAGTGGGTCAAACTCCAAGGTCAATGTCAAAGTGTTATAAATAAAGGTACCAAGGTGTAGTCTTGTAACAAGAAATATTGCATGCTGCATGTGTGAAATATAAAAACCCCAATACCAACTGTACAAAAGTTAAGGCCAAGGACAAAGTTTTTCAAAAGTAGGTCAAACCCCAAGGCTGAAGGGTTAAAAACATTAATATACATTCAATGGCTTATCACAATGAATACACAACCTTGGCCATATCTTTTGAACAGTTAGTACTAAGGCTTTCATATTTCACATGTACATGTAGCAGGAATATTCCTTGTGACAGTCCTTCTTTTGGATACCAATAATTTTTACCTTGACCTTGGAGTTGGACGTGCATTTGAGAAACTTCAATCCTCGCTATAAGCTGCCATATGGGATTGTCATTATTTTTCTCTCTGTTTTTTTTTTTTCCTATTTTTCAAAAATGGGTAAAGGTCAAATTTGTTGGTGCCAAAAGAAAGTTCCTACAATAAGAAATGCACCTGTGAAATATTATCGCCATATAGCTTTTACTTATCAAAAGTTATGGGCAAGGTTCAAGTTTTTGCGGACAAAGAGTTATAGATAGACGGACGGTCAGGTCAAAAACTGTACACTCCCGAATCTGCGATTACGTGGGCATAAAAAGTTCAACGTGTTAAATAGCATGTACATTAAAGTTCCAAGCAGATGGTATTTCAATCCTGATTATTTTTTTTTTCTTCTCAAAATATCTATTTCTGGACACGGATTTGAAAACTGAAGTTTATTTTTAAAAATATGTGAAAATATTGAAACCTTCTTCTCATTACAAGACTAATACCTATATCAACATGTATATATGCATTCTGAAAATACATACCTTGAACATTGTTAAATATTTGATGTAATAAGTAAATTGTAATATTTTTATTCGGAAAATGTAGTTTGACGTTAAAACTGTAATATTTATATTTCAGACAGAATGTTTTTTAAAAAAATGTCGATGAGAAAATTAAAAAATTTGAAATATAACGCATAATGCCAGGAATAAAATGCAGCGGATTTTATTGGACCCCCCCCCCCCCCCCCCCTCCAGTTTCTGTGAAATTTAAACGAACACAAAAATTCAAATATAAGTAAAGCATACTGTTTAGATCTTTCCTTGCTAGTATTCCTTATGATTTTTTTACGTTTACTTAAAAAAACTGACAAGGCAAAAAAGTGAAAATTGGAGATTTTACTGTAACAGTAGATAGTTTACTAGATAGAACACCTCCCTCCCCCCTTCTACGTGCCGTGCTTGGTGATAAAGCGATATATTTTTATATTTCATATTTGATCAAAAGATAAAAAAAAATCGCATTTATTTTTGAAATATTTTTTGAAAAGTTTAAGAGATATGTGATTTTTATTACTGTAAGGAGTATGGTTTCTGGAACTTTTTTACACAGCAGAGATTTCCACTAAAGAAAAAAAAATAATAATTAAAGCTTTTTTTTCTGAGAGATATGAAAATTTGTCTGTGATATCTATCTTTAATAACTTACCGAAGCATAGAACACAGATGATGAAACATCCTTGTATCAACATAGTCATAAGCTAATTCAGACATGGGCGATCTTACTCTCAAGGCGCATCATTCGAAGTTATTGATTACAATGATGCAAATAAATGTAACGTATACGCATTGATTTTCCGTCAATATATCTGATAGCAATAGTTTTCATGAAATAGATTAATATTCAATCATCTATAAGATGCTTGTGAACTATCGTAGAAGTTTCATAATTATCGGATAAATATAGGTCCCAATACGTTCGTTATTGAACAGTTTTTATAGAATGTAAAGCACATACGGTACCAAATGTTGATGCACCAAATGTGCATTTCGACAAATTACGTCTCTACAGTGATGCTCATGTGGAAACGTTGGAAATCCGAAATATTTTATTCAAAACAAAAATTGTAGGACTTAAATTTGAGGTGCCAGAGACTGGATCCAAATCCCTCGAAGACGTTTAGATTTTAATGTTTAAATACTGGATTATACATGTGTATTCTTTAAATCATACCTATTGTATATCTGTAAAAGTTAATGATAATTTTTTTTTTGTATTAAGATGTAAGAAACTTGCAGACATGAAATTAATTTTTATATTAATTAATATTCTTATATAGTACGTTTTATAATATTTAATATACGTCGTCATTTTCCAATAACTTGCAATTGGACAAGCTGCTTTATTTTCTGAGCATGTGAAGGAAAAAATTAAACTGAGAAATCAATAGTAGATTCATCATGATAGCATGACTCCATAAGGTGAACAATAGTAAAAAAATGAAAGGAACTTCCTTTTTAAATACATTTTTTAATTAATGAGTTCAAATAAATCTTATAAACCAACTTTTATCATAGCTGGAATAGGTTCTAAATTAAAACTTTCGAAATAAAAAGAAATTAACATGATAAAGACTATACATATACAATTTGCAATTTGTGGTCAAAGACATGAAATATATGGAGATAACGAACCGTTTTCAAGCTCAAAAGTCCAATAAAGAATACGAAATAGGAGCAGAGCAAACACAGATCTCCGAAACATCAGAGGTGGGATCAGGTACTATGGAGGAGTGAGCATCCCTTGCCGACCGGTCATTCCAGCTGTGTGCCCTTTCTAATGATCGACAAATAACGAAAAAATCTGTCTGTCATCAATTCAATCAGTGTATTAATAATGGACGAACAATTTATCATTATGAAAAAAAATGTATTTTTTAGTCTAAGATTATGATAAATACACATAATGCAAAAAACATGAACATTTATTTCAAATTTACATGTCACAAAACATGCACAATTAAAACTATTTACCTTTGAGGCCAATATACACTGTACATTTAACTAATTTACACAAATGTACATATAACTAACACAATGCTTAAAGTTTTAGGTGCTTTTTTCATTAGATATTTAAGCAGTCTATCCAAAAACTCAATATCATGAAAGTATGTAATGCACACAAAACAACGAAAAATAATATTCTTCAGTTTCTCAGATTCCACCATAGAGGGTAACACTGCTAGCAATGTAATGGGGAATAACTCAACTTTCTTCTAAAATAATTACAAAAGCAAAAATTGAATTATTCCCCTTTTGACATGTTAATATTGTAAAAATTAAAAGAATTTTCTAAAGAATTTTTTTTTTCTTTAAACCTGTGATCCAGAGCAATTTTTAAAATATTTAAATTTGATAAATACATCAAAAGAAAAAAGTAGAATATGCTACATACAAATATATATCACTTATTGGAACCTTGGAGCCACTGGTTTTGTAAACATGAAGTACACTAGGCCTACAGTAATTACACCTAATGACCTTTTTCTTTTCTTTAGTCAAGAAGTATAGCTTGGTACTAGTGCCCCCGCTCCATATTGAAATTCTTAGGTTGTGACTCGCCCATCTGAAAATGCTTCCTACATGCCTGCAGGTGTATCACTTAAGTCCAATTTCAATCATGCAGATTTCAATGTTGCAACAGGTACTATCATGAAAAAGATCCCTCAATGAATACTTTTTAGTGCAGAGCACAGGTCTTAATTTGCAGTCTTGCATTGACAGTTTGTACCTTTGTACCAGTATAAATGAAAAGGTTTCAAAGGATCGAGATAAAGCAAATAATTATATACACAACCAATCAAGTGTTCGATAGAGGAATATCTTAATTCTTTGACCATCTTTTGCTCAAAGCATTCGATTTAAACAATTTTGTATAATACAGTTTTCAATTACATGTGAAGCTCACAACCAATCACATGTTCGATAGAGAAATGTCTTAATTCTTTGACCATCTTTTGCTCAAAGCATTCAATTTAAACAATTTTGTATAATACAGTTTTCAATTACATGTGAAGCTCACAACCAATCACATGTTCAATAGAGAAATGTCTTAATTCTTTGACCAACTTTTGCTCAAAGCATTCGATTTAAACAATTTTGTATAATACAGTTTTCAATTACATGTAAAGCTAATGACTATAGTTCCCATGCACAAACAAATACTGTTTACTGCAGATAGATTATTAAGTGCCACATATTGTAATCTTAATTTTTTACCATTACCTAAATTCCTTTTTTAAACCTTTCCCCTGATTTTTATACAAGTCAATGATTATTGATAGTTTATATTTGTAAAGGCAAATCAAATTTCTCACAAAGAAAATCCAGAAACATGGTGAATGCAGCAAACAGAAGGGAAAATATAATTCTCCATATTTGCATGGAGGATCTTTCATCACAGAAAGTTGTCAAGTCTCGAATATTACAGTGGCCATATTTCTGTTGGGCACATATGTTAGCAATATCTCTACTGCTGTTTATAAAGGGCAGTAGAATCCAGACAAAAACTGCTATGGCTGCTCCTTTAATGGCCATCTTCATCAGTTTCTGGTCTTCCCTCTGCCTGGCCTGGACCAATGATGGCTGTCTCTCAGTTCTGGGTGTTGGAGAGCCCTGTGGTTCCTTCTGGTTGTAGCTGGTTTTATCTTTGATTACTTTAGAAGCTGAATCACAGACCTACAATTTAATTCAATTCAATGTTACATATGCATTTCAAAGTAGTTTTCTTTATTAATTTTCACATGTACCCATGTTACTGAGCATCATGAGGAAAGTCAAGGTCAAGGATTTGCACCAAATTAACTGGGTGCCTGCGTTTAAAAGCTTCCCATGTAATATATATTAGTAATGAAAATACTAACAATAAGAGAGCTAAATTTTGTACCATAAATAAAATTGTTGAGATATTTATATTCTAATTTGGCTAAGCAATCCAGTCATTCAATATGTCTGTATGAATATTTCCCCATACTTTATTAAGGATGCCCATCTTCAGAAATGTAAAACTCATTTCAGGTGCACAGTTTTCTGCAGTTTTGTCTTGTGACCTTTAGGATGGGTATGAAATGGATCTGGCTGTATACACTGAATTACTGTAAACCAGTTTTTATTCGTGTGTGAGAAATATTCGCAAGTTTTGCAACCTACTTTAAGTTGCAAATATTAATCGCTGTGAACCATTCATTTTGCTTTGTTTTTGTAGAAAATGTTTCCTTTTTTGTGAAAATTAATTGTTACGGATTGATTACAAACCGACGAATCGAGAATAAAAGATGACACGAATAATAGTTGGTTTACAGTACATACTAACCTGTCTCATGAACTTGAGGATGGGTATGTCCAGCTCTGGATGGCGATGATCCAGACGGCTTTTCCCGACATATTTATCGTAAGTATCACAGTAGGTTGTACAAAGAAGGAAGCGGTTCTCTGGCAGTCCTAGGCCTTCTCTGAATTCCTTCTCTTGTTTTATATAGTCGGCGTCCCCCCTGTCTATCTCATCTCGATGTGTCAGAACCCCAAAGATTGGAATTACTGAAATTAATACAAGGCTTTCATTATGTCAAATCTTCACTGTTGTCTATGGAAATTAAGATATATTGATATGATATTGATAGAAACATACTAGTATTGATAAGATAAGCTAAGTTGATTTGACTTTTTAAATATGCTAATTTAAAATTAAATGCTGAAGTTGAAAAGAATACTAAACAATATTCAAAAGATTGTTGAAGGTACAATGTAACAGAGTTCTTTTTAAGTTGCCTTGTTTCTTAGTATCTTGTATCACTATACATGTACCTCTTCCCTCCTTACGGGCTGTTCGTCTAACAGCCTCCATTAGCTGTGTAGGGAGTTCATTTGTTGCGGATGCCACAAATATTATTCTGTCTATTTTTATATCCTCATTATTTTGGGAGTAATGATCTCTCAATCCCTCAATTCCCCTCTGCCTGTAAAAGATGGAAAAAGCATATCGAACAAAAAAATGAAAGCAATCTATATACTGCACACTAAAGAGTTATGATTTTGTGGTATTTTTATGCAAATAGAGTAATCTGCCCTTTTATTAAGAATAAAATAAAATTGAGATGTACAGTTTATTACATAAATTTTAATCAATTTCAAACCAGGCAATCATATTATTTTAAAGGTCAAGATGAATAGATTGAAAATGTCATTTGCAGGTATTTTTTCTTGGGGGTAAATGCAAGGTATCCTGTGTTGAAAATGTGATAGATAAGCTCAATATTTATGCCTTTTCATTCTATAATTTTTTGAATGTCCATTTTTTCAATGTCCAAAAAATCTTTTCCTCTAGTGTATAGAGAGCTTTTAAATACTGTACCTTGAAATTGTGACGGCATCCATGAGTTTTTCTTCGTTGGGCAGCCTTCCATAGAACACAATCCGCAGGAGTTCCTCTATCAGATCATCACAGTTGTTCTCGAAACCGTTCATGTCCACCAGTGTAGGATAATTGTAGTCATATAGGGCATCAAAGTCCAGGTACTCCACTTTGGGGAAGCTGTTAAAGGTAATCTTAAGTATCAATATTCTGATAATATAATGGCAATAATGTAACAATATCCCATTCAAAATTAAAAAAAAAAAAAAGAACACACAAGGGTATATAAGAAAATAAAATATCTCATATGAATTGAAAATGAAACAAAGTTTTTCTTATTAACTTAAAAATAACAGTTCTCATAAATTTACATCAAATGAAGAGTTTTGGTTTCTCTCTATTAAAAGCTAAAATGATCTAAGACTTGTCTCACATTCTTTCCCCCCACCTCAGTAAATGATGCTTGACCTGGTCACGGTGACCACCAAGGTTCCCCTCACCTCAGTAATAATGCATGTCCTGTTCACCATGACCACCACAGTTCCTTGCCTCAGTTAATGATGAGTGACCTAGCTGTTCACCATGAACACCAAAGTTCCCCTTACCTCAGTAAATGATGAGTGACCTGCCCTCCTTACCTAAGTAAATGATGAGTGACCTGTTCCCCCTTACCTCAGTAAATGATGAGTGACCTGTTCCCCTTACCTCAGTAAATGATGAGTGACCTGCCCCCCTTACCTCAGTAAATGATGAGTGACCTGTTCCCCCTTACCTCAGTAAATGATGAGTGACCTGCCCCCCTTACCTCAGTAAATGATGCGTGACCTTTCCCCTTACCTCAGTAAATGATGAGTGACCTGCCCCCCTTACCTCAGTAAATGATGAGTGACCTGTTCCCCTTACCTCAGTAAATGATGAGTGACCTGTTCCCCTTACCTCAGTAAATGATGAGTGACCTGCCCCCCTTACCTCAGTAAATGATGAGTGACCTGTCCCCCTTACCTCAGTAAATGATGAGTGACCTGTCCCCCTTACCTCAGTAAATGATTAGTGACCTGTCCCCCTTACCTCAGTAAATGATGAGTGACCTGTCCCTCTTACCTCAGTAAATGATGAGTGACCTGTTCCCCCTTACCTCAGTAAGTGATGAGTGACCTGTCCCCCTTACCTCAGTAAATGATGAGTGACCTGTCCCCCTTACCTCAGTAAATGATGAGTGACCTGTCCCCCTTACCTCAGTAAATGATGCGTGACCTGTTCCCCCTTACCTCAGTAAATGATGCACGACCTGTTCCCCCTTACCTCAGTAAATGATTAGTGACCTGTTCCCCCTTACCTCAGTAAATGATGAGTGACCTGTTCCCCCTTACCTCAGTAAATGATGAGTGACCTGCCCTCCTTACCTCAGTAAATGATGAGTGACCTGTTCCCCCTTACCTCAGTAAATGATGAGTGACCTGTTCCCCCTTACCTCAGTAAATGATGCATGACCTGTTCCCCTTACCTCAGTAAATGATGAGTGACCTGCCCTCCTTACCTCAGTAAATGATGAGTGACCTGCCCTCCTTACCTCAGTAAATGATGAGTGACCTGTTCCCCCTTACCTCAGTAAATGATGAGTGACCTGCCCTCCTTACCTCAGTAAATGATGAGTGACCTGTCCCCCTTACCTCAGTAAATGATGAGTGACCTGTCCCCCTTACCTCAGTAAATGATGAGTGACCTGTCCCCCTTACCTCAGTAAATGATGAGTGACCTGTCCCCCTTACCTCAGTAAATGATGAGTGACCTGCCCCCCTTACCTCAGTAAATGATGAGTGACCTGTCCCCCTTACCTCAGTAAATGATGAGTGACCTGTTCCCCCTTACCTCAGTAAATGATGAGTGACCTGTTCCCCCTTACCTCAGTAAATGATGAGTGACCTGCCCTCCTTACCTCAGTAAATGATGAGTGACCTGCCCCCCTTACCTCAGTAAATGATGCATGACCTGTTTCCCATTACATCAGTAAATGATGCACGACCTGTTCCCCCTTACATCAGTAAATGATGAGTGACCTGTTCCCCCTTACCTCAGTAAATGATGTGTGACCTGTTCCCCTTACCTCAGTAAATGATGCATGACCTGTTCCCCTTACCTCAGTAAATGATGCATGACCTGTTTCCCCTTACCTCAGTAAATGATGCGTGACCTGTTCCCCTTACCTCACTAAATGATGCGTGACCTGTTCCCCTTACCTCAGTAAATGATGCACGACCTGTTTCCCATTACCTCAGTAAATGATGCACGACCTGTTCCCCTTACCTCAGTAAATGATGCATGACCTGTTCCCCTTACCTCAGTAAATGATGAGTGACCTGTTCCCCTTACCTCAGTAAATGATGCATGACCTGTTTCCCATTACCTCAGTAAATGATGCACGACCTGTTCCCCTTACCTCAGTAAATGATGCATGACCTGTTTCCCATTACCTCAGTAAATGATGCACGACCTGTTCCCCTTACCTCAGTAAATGATGCATGACCTGTTTCCCATTACCTCAGTAAATGATGTGTGACCTGTTCCCCTTACCTCAGTAAATGATGCATGACCTGTTTCCCATTACCTCAGTAAATGATGCACGACCTGTTCCCCTTACCTCAGTAAATGATGCATGACCTGTTCCCCCTTACCTCAGTAAATGATGCGTGACCTGTTCGGCGTGACCACCAAAATGTCCAACAGCAGCCCGTTCTCTCCATCCACCCACAGAAAAAGCCGCCATGATTGAGTTACACAGCGATGATTTTCCGCTGCCTGCTGGTCCAATGAAGGCGATATTTAGGGCCTTACCCCTTCTGCCAACCCTCTCCTGAAATGCCCTCACTTGACTTTGTCTCTCTTTTTCATCTTCACTTTCCCCATCCATTTTTCTGTTTTGGCGCGGCATGTCTAATAGATTTACATCATCTGCTCCCCCTGGTGGCATGTCGAAATTATTCTCTTCTGTATAAATAGGATACACTTGACATGTGAGTAGTAGCAATCACTTATCCGAAAAAAGTTTAAGAAATCAACAAATTTTGTAGGAAATTGACCATTTTTAGCAGACACTTAAGCCACAATATCTTACTGAAGTCTTCTTTGGAAGACCAGCAAAGCTTTATATGTACATGTAAGATTTATAGTCATAATAATATGGAAGCATCATCTAGCAGTGCATATTCAATTTTGTTTAAACCATGGCCCCTGTGTATTTGTAAGGTCTACAATTGGAAATCAAAGTTTACATTGGAATATACTGGGAAAAATATATGCTGTTGAAGATTGATTATATGTTGTTTATAATCCCATTCAAGAATTTTTCACTCATAAAGAAACATCACATACTTTATTTTGGTGAAAGGTTTTTAATTTAGACCTTTCTTCAAATTTAGACTTTAATTACTCAGCACTCTTAAATGGCAACTGAGCAATAAGGGATCTTTATCATGCCACACCTGCCATGACAATTAAGAGACCTCTCTTTGATCTACAACTTTAATATGTTATATAGGATACTACAACGTACACATACAGATACAGAGGAATCAAAATGGTGTGTTTGGGTTTCTAGTTTTTTTTAATGCTCAGTCATACTTGGAAAAAAAACACGGAATACACAATCCTGAAAAAAGCACCTCTCTTGTCAGGGTGTAATCAAAATTATGCATTCGCTCATGACTTGGTCAATCGAGTGATTTTCATTGCTAACTCTGACATGTTCAATCTACTTTCTCTTTCGTTTTCTTTTCTGCTTAGCCTATTTAAAAACGTTGTTGAAAACTTATGTTCACTCTAATAACAAAGTTGTCTGTTGTGACATTCTTGTTGATTAATGCAGATTGGTTTGTTATTTAGTTTTTAGATTATTCCTACAAACGAACTTGATAATATACGCACCAAAGTTCTTTCTGATCTCAATGCTTGGGTTTTATCAGTGATGTTACAACCGTTTGACAGCTGTTTTCTTTGTCGTTGGACTTAACAAGTAAGAGTTATTCTCCTTGAGCAGAGACAGAAAACCTTCTCATGTCCATCATAAATTGATAATAATAATAAAATACAGACTAAGTGAGGGAATATTTTAAGTTAAAGAGTATATTTGTCTACCAAATGAAATATTTGATACATGTAAATGTTAATGCGTTTCAGAGGACCACAAAACACTACAAATGTTAACTCACTTGCAAACAACGCATCGGTGGTTCAGTGGTAGAATGCTCGCCTGCCACGCGGGCGGCCCGGGTTCGATTCCCGGCCGATGCATATTTTGTTTTTTTTTATTTATTTTTTTTTTACTAATAATCAATGAAATGAAATTTCGTACTGTCAAGTGTGTATTTGAGAGTGCGGAAGCTATAATAGACACACATATGCTTTTGCAAGGGGATGCGTCACTTTGCAGTGCCCTTGTTTTCTTCATATGATATAGGCTACATTATGGTTGCTCAGAGGCCTAAGGTTTAGTTCCACTATATTTTAATCGGAGACCTATACAGTTCTCCAGCTATGTAGCTCTCCAGTCTGACAATACATTTTTCTCGGAGAGCTACAGTTCTGCAGCTAAATTTTGGAAGAAGCACCCTTGCGAATACAACAATGGAAGATTCACTCTTGTTTATTATATGGATGCACATATAGTTTTTATTAATTAGATGTTAGTAAGAGTGATCAGCTATTTTTATTTTATACTAGCATTTTTAAAATGTTATGCTCTGTCTACCAAGGAAAAAATCCTTGTAAGTGTACATGTACAATAATCTCTCTCTCTCTCTCTCTCTCTCTCTCTCTCTCTCTCTCTCTCTCTCTCTCTCTCTCTCTCTCTCTCTCTCTCTCTCTCTCTCTCTCTCTCTCTCTCTCTCTCTCTCTCTCTCTCTCTCTCTCTCTCTCTCTCTCTCTCTCTCTCTCTCTCTCTCTCTCTCTCTCTCTCTCTCTCTCTCTCTCTCTCTCTCTCTCTCTCTCTCTCTCTCTCTCTCTCTCTCTCTCTCTCTCTCTCTCTCTCTCTCTCTCTCTCTCTCTCTCTCTCTCTCTCTCTCTCTCTCTCTCTCTCTCTCTCTCTCTCTCTCTCTCTCTCTCTCTCTCTCTCTCTCTCTCTCTCTCTCTCTCTCTCTCTCTCTCTCTCTGTTTAATTAGTGGTTAAGATATTTATAGCTGCAGAACTGTAGCTCTCCGAAAAAAATATATTGACAGACCGGATAGACAGACACTCCGGTCTGTCAAAATGTTATTTCCGGAGAGCTACATTTCTGCATCTAAGATACATAATGAGAAGTGGAGCACGGGTCGAGATACCTAGTGAAAGTTACTTATTAATTCTAGATACTTGTAAATATACCCAATACCTTGTACAAGCTACTTTTAAGGTAGTGATTGTATGGGCAGTAAATTTACAAGTCTTAAGCCTCTTAGTGCATGACTTTTACTAGTTATTTATTTTTTTTCTTAGTAAAGATAGAACTTAAGGATTGGTTATCCGATTTATAGAGATATCATTCTTATCAGATCCATAGTAGTAGGCAGATTCAGAGAAAGGAGGACACAACTAAACAAGTTCAGTTTGAACAGGCAGCCGCAAAGCCAAGCAAATATCCTTTACAAGCCTAGGCCAAAATTTGGGGGGGGGGGGGGGATAAACATTGAGAATCACAGAGTACAGTTATTAAGTTTTCTATAGTTCACTGTATATCTTTTTTTTTGTCTACTTTAATTAATGAAGTCCAGTTTCAAGATCGTAATATGTTGTATTTGAACGCTTAACTACCGGGCATACCCATATACATGTACATGTACTAGCTCAAAATAAAAATTATAACGTAAAACACCATTGAATAAAATAATATTTTTTGTTTAAGAATTTATCCCCCGATCCATCAAACCTGATCATGAGCCAGGAATAGCTATATGTATTAAGTTCGCCTAGTTCTGAAGATATAAAAGATGAACAGCCTCCCGAACAAAGCCTTCTGACATAGCGATAGAGTAAAGGGGAGATTTCCAAAGTGAAAGGCAACATAGAAAATCGATTGATCTAACACGAAAAAAAAAACGTCTTAAGGGTGACAAAATAGCCTGCCCTCTAATGAACTCAATCGTGAAAAACAGAAAAATAAAACTTGTTTATGAAAAACAGTGTTGTTTTTACTTGCGTGTTGAAAAAAAACAATCATGAAAACATTATGGACGATTCCATTTCAAAGTGCTTCCAAAAGAAGTACGGTTTATATTTAAAATACATAAATTCCGAGTATTTTCTGTTCTGCTTTCTTATATACATGTATTTTCAACGTTGAATTGTTTGAATTTAGTTACTAACCAATTAGTACTATTTTATACATGTGGTAAATATTTAATTGATCATTATTAGCATATTTTAATTTGGCATTCTTTCAAGAATTTAATAATTTTGTTTATGCTTAAAGCTTAAGGAAGAAAGTCCCACTTTCAGTGCTTAGTTCTTCTGACACGATCATAACCATCACAGCAGAGATTATGCATTTTGAACAGATTACTCTTTTTTAATGCCAATGCTCTATAAACTGTATATACTTTTTATACGTTTGCTTTTAAGCCTGTGTAAGATTTGTATATATTTGCTTGGTGATCTATTTTTTCAATATTTTTCTTTCTAAATTTGGAAACATTATGGCAGGGGAATTCCCCTTGTCCTGAGATAACCTCTCGATCGTTCAGCAGAACCTTGGCCGATCCATGAACTGTCGTCCGCCGGAACAAGAGCAAGGCCAATTATAAAATCTTATATAATATGCACCTTTCGCTTCCGATGCATTGAAAATTAATGAAATTAGAATTTTAAAAACTGACAGAGAAAAATGCAGTGCTTGTGTTTCTTTAAGTTTCTTATACATGTATCACTCTTCTGGATCTTTAATTAAACATAAGAAGCAACCAACCAACCAAAAAAAAAAAAAAAAAAAAAAAACATGACCCTGAACGGTGCTTTACTCTTATAAGTTGACTGTTCGTGTGCTGGGTCAGCAAAAAATTAAAATATGAAAAATGTCTTAATTTAAAAAGTAAATAAACACTTTTGGATTTTATCTCCTAAATATAACACCTAGAGCTGGATTTCTAAATCGATTATTTCATTCTTTACGACAGTTATTCTTTAATTACCCGCAAATCAGTAAATGTTGGAAGTAGAACTTAGCAAATATTTTTTTCCAATTTGACAGTTTAAATATACAATATACCGTAACATTCAATCATTGCTATTTCCAATGATAAAGTTATAATCACAATAAAATATTAACGCCTGGTGACCTGTGAAGGACGTATAAATATAATGTACCGAGATATTTTTTATATCTATAAAGTAAGTAAGTAAGTAAGTAATCATTTATTATAGTGACATTGTGCATTATAAACATTTCAATATACATTGTAAACAAAATACTTCAAAATGAATCTGCACCCGGCCCATTGGACCTATAAGTCACTTTTTCCATTAATAGCATTTATATAAATTTACACATGCAGAAGATTCTTTCTAAGGTTAAATGCTGTATGTACAAAGGATGTATTCGCTTTAACAAAAGAATTGACCTATAGGAGAGAACAATTTCCCGGAAAAAGTGACATTCAAAAATTAATCTTTATTTGTTATTTTCTGTCGTATATATGTCTAAATTTTTCAAATTTGTATTTTATACTTAATATTTATTTTTTAAAACTGTACAATAAACCTCCAAAGTTGGCCAAAACACCATTTTGTCCATTAAATCGTTAGTTTTTGCATGTATTTTGACCTAGAAGTCCTTCAGGGCAGGCCTGCCCCTAAATAAAACTGTGATATTTTGATAGGTTGGGATGTAAAGAATAATTTAAGATAGAATTTTTTTAGGGGCACCCCTGCCCTAGGGGTCGAAATTCACAAAAAACCTACAAAAATAAGGAAACCTGATTTTGATAATCCGCTTAAAATTTATGACAATCAAATGTATAGTCAG